CTTGCAGTCATAGTTAACAGCTTGAGGCTGCCATTGATAACTGCTGGAATAGTTGATACCAACTGCAGCGTTGGTATCAACTGCTCAACAAGTCACAATTTCAATTTCATTCAAATCAGTAGCAACATGGATTTTGAGGAACAAGCACTACTACTGCTACTATTGCTCACACGGCGACGGCGGCGGCGTAGAGTTTGCTGCTGCAGAAATGCACGCGAGACGTGAAACGAAAAGCGCGGGCGGAGGTAACTGACAGCAGTCGACAGCTCGAGAAGTCAGTGTATGCTTGGCGACTGCTTAACTGCACGATGAAATTTCACCGCGCTGCAAATCGCCCGAAGCAGGCCCTGTACTCTCTTTCTCCGTCCGACATCCGTCCGAAAAAATTACTCTTAAATATGTAATATTCGACCAAATTTAAAGACGCATGATGGGAATGAAGCTTTATACTCGACATTGTTTTTTAGTTTCGTCGGGTATTAGTTATTTGGCAGTAATTGTTTCAAACGGATATCGGACGGAGAATGAGAGTAGAACTCCAGTCGCAACTGCTCGAGCTGTTTGGTGTATGTGTGTACATAGAAGACTGTAGTTTGCTATGTTGTCGCTACTTGAAGCACTCTATACTATCTACTTCAAGCTGCCCGTGTATGGCCGCCCTTAGACCTTCGCGATGTGTTACTGCAACTGTCCTTATACAGGCGTGTCGCTTACCACCAGGCGCACGACTTATATGTCCCATCGCTTAGTGTCATAAAAAAGAAATAAATGTTGCGGGTTGACAATATATACCATTTGTAATTTGTATGTTAGCAGACGAATGCACTTCTCATTTCACTCTCTCAAATGACTCCAATACTTTCTCCTTTTTCATACCAAAATTATGCTTGCGCAAACTCTTCTACTCCTCTTACTCGACTATACGTTTGTTATTTAGATATGACCGAAGAGCTTATGCATAAACTAGAGCGCCTACAAAACTTGGCTATCCGATTTATTTTCGGTCTCCGTAAGTATGACCTTGTTTCCGAATTTCGCGCTCGGTTAAAATGGCTCCCAATTCGCCTTCGCCGTGATGTGCACATCCTGTCCGCCCTTTTTAATATACTCTACTACCCTTCGTACCTTCGTTCCCAGTTCCAGTTGCTATCCCCTCCTACCCGTTCAAGGCGTCCGTGCATCACTAAGATGCTCGTTCGTCCTAACTGTAAAACAAATTTATTTTTAACTTTTGTTCTCGTGCAACGCAGTTGTGGAACCGACTTCCTTCCCATATCCAGTCTAGCCCGTCTATCGCTTCTTTCAAGAAAAGGTTGAAAGCGCACTTTCTTGCTGAAATATCTTAGTAATCATCTTATTGTATTTTATTTATTTATCGATATATGTATATGTGTACCTATATGTATATATTACACTATTTACATATTGATGCTATTTATTATTATTCATTATAATACTTATGCAAGCAACGGTATTTTTTTTTTCATGTACTTTATTATATTTCTTTCGCACTCTCTCTTGCACACTATTGCCCTTTTATAACCTTAGCTCTCACTGCCCTGGGTTGGCTGGAAGAAATCTCTTTTAGAGATAAGTCCACCTTTGCTCACTTTCTGTTAATCTTATATTTCTGTTGTATTTTATTTGGTGCAATAAAGAATATATTTTATATTTACAAAAATTTAACTTTTTTTATTTCTAAGAGAAAAAAACATTACGTTAATTGTCATAAGTAGGTATGTCATTAAAATATTCCAAAACAAAAGGAATGTTAATACACCTTGAAATTTTATGAACAAATAGCCTCAAGCAAGAGCCGTGACATACGCAGAAAAGACAAATGTAATCACTAAGTTTTTAAGTAGGCACCTAAGTATATAAAAGATACATAACATAAACGCGTTGACTTTGATATACTCTTAACTTTAAGTGATACACATTAACTTTGTATAGGCTTTGCTTTTGCGATGCACACTTAAGAATTTAACATATTTTTAAAGTACAGAAAATCGAGTTGTATTTTTGATCAATGTTGTGTATCCATTAGCATATACGTGAGGCGCACTATAAGATTCCGGAACCGCATAAGAGCGCGGGCGCCGCTGATTTGCTGATGTACCAGCTTTTTTTTCCCGTCTGTGGGCAGGCACGAGTCCATACATGCCATGCCCGTTTGGTAAGCTCTGCACAAAACGCACACATGTATTTACAAAATTGACTAGTAATGTAGTACGTCTGTAGTATGATTGCGACTTATTTAATCTCAAAGTTCCTACTCAGAACAAAATATTCACATTCACAAAATATACACGTCATTTTTTGAAATTATACTAGAAGCAAAACATTGCTCTTCAGAATGGGTTCTTTCATATAACAAAATATTCTTTACTGTGTCAGGTGATGAAAATAATAATACCTGGGCGCACTATAAGTTTCTGGAATGAATAAGAAAAAAATACTATAAATGGCCAGAAATGAATTTACTGTTTCTCAAAATATTCTCCGTTAGCGTTAATGTACTTTTTCATACGAATAAACCAATTTTGAAAACATTTATTCCACTCCTTCGTGACAGTCTATGAAACATATTTTTCATACTCTTCGACAGCCTCTTCATGTGATGAAAAACGTTGACCGCGTAATTGGTTCTTAATTTTTGGAAATTAATAAAAGTCACAAGGCCTCACTGTTCACCTTCAAAAATTCATTTGTCTGTCTGGCCGTGTGAGAACTGGTATTATCTGGTGAAGCAAGATGATACGGCGTTTACGGTCATTATTAAGGAGTTTATCAACTTTTTATTCTATATTTATAACTGCCGGCAAACAAATGGTCGTGTACCAATCACTATTCACGGTACAACGATTCTCCAAAGCAACAGTAGCCATGTGTCTTAAACGCACTTTGCACGCGCGCCACTTTGGTTGGCTTTGGCTCATCTCAAAAGGCCCACACGCTCGATTGCTGCTTTGTTTTGAGATCGTAACTATAAATCCATGTTTCGTCACCTGTTACTATATCCCACACCAAAATTTGACGCCCCTTCGTTGAATCTGGTAAGCATGGCATTGCATCAAGTGACGAGATCCGTTCTTTGAGCCTTTTTTCAAATTGTGTGGGATCCACCGAGAGCACAGCTTTTTCACACCCAAATGTTTGTGTAGTATTGATTGTATTTGACTCATGCCTATGCCTAAAGATGCCCGAATCTCATGGTATGTCACATGCCTATCTGTTTTGATCATACGGCGCACAGCATTGATGTTTTTGTTGTTCACAGCAGTGGACGGGCTACCATCACGAAATTCGTCACTGAGATTCACACGACCGCGTTTGAATTCTGCAAATCAGCTATAAATAGTCGTCGTACATGGTGCTTCATTGCCAAAAGCAGTTTGAAGCCGAGCGAAGCTCCGCTGAGTTGTTAAATTACACTTAAAATCGTAGAAAATCATACTACGATAATTTTCACGAGTTAAATCTATGGTGATTTATGCAACCAATTTCTAAAATGACGCCACAATGTAAGAACAACTGACAGTTGAAGGGTTGAGGGTGGTAGTGAAATTACATGAGGCTTGTCAACTTATGTCTCAGGTGACGAACGCAGTGGCAATGCCCATCAGATCTTTGCGATTTAAAGCTCTGAGTGCCACTGCAACTGCTATGAACAGTCGCGTCACTTGCCACTAAGCACACGACTTGATCATCCTGTCACTTGGTGTAAAAAAATCATAAAGGTTTAACCGAAAATAGCAAAAAATGGCAAAGTTATTATACATATAGAATTAATTACAAGTCTTTGTAAAAACTACTTTCCGGTTGTGAAATACAGAATCCGCCCTCAACATCCAATAGTAGTTTGCCATCGTCCGTTATATCTTTGTTCCAGTTCTTTTATATGTTATTAAAAACGTTCTCCTTACGCTTCACTTTCAGGTAAATAGTGAAAGTGTGAGTGACGGAAACAAACTTTTACACTCAAGTTGCAACGTAACAATTTATAATTTTCCAACAAATCATCACCTAAGGTATGAGTCTTTTTTTGCCAAGACAGCCGTTTAAAAGACTTCCAGGATTTCTTGTCCTTATTTGTGACTCAGAAGTTTCATCCCTCAAAGGTTTTATTATGTCAGACCCAGCAAGAACACCACATTTAAACTTCATCTTATATAAACCCGGAAACTGTTCATAAAACTATCCAACATATCCGCCTTCTTTTAAGTAATGCTTTGACAAATTTTTTCTTGAGACCCAATTTGGTGTGAAGTGATGGAGTTGACTTTTTAGGATCCACTAAAGTATTCTTCTCAACATTTTAAATCCGGGAATAATGGTCTTTATTATTGGCCATTCTTTTTTATATAATCTTGTATTTTGTCATTACTGACTTATTCGCAAAACAAGTAAGGGTACAAAGTATAACGGTTAGATGTATTTTACCAGCTTTAATGTTCAGCTTGTTCAACATTAGAAAGAATGACCCGTGTTGTCATCCTAATTTTATATTAGATAATTATAATTTTAAGTGAGCTTATGAGGATAAAAAAAATAGTATTTTATAGATTACCGCCTGGGGTACACTTACTTTGTGATAATTACATTACCTTGCACATAAAAATTATAATGAGAAGACAAAATTGTCTTCTCATTGTAATTTTTATGTTCATCAAAGAATATTTCATTCTACATTCATTCGTTCATTCATCAATATTAAATACTATAAAACATAGTTTGTACGTGTGTCTGAAAAGCTTTAAAAGTGTAGTGTGTATGTGTGACTTGTAAGTAGACTAAAAATAGTAAACTTTTTCATGCACAAAAATAGAGGTATCAATCATAAAATTTGAAATATTCTTTTTCAAAACAAACCTGTTTTATTTAATATAATGCAAATAAATTATGCAAATCATTTCGAAAAACTAAGTTATTCTTCACGATGGTTAATCTCAAAAGGATAATACTTAGTGGTTTAATTATATCTAAGTAAAAACACTTACTTGCTATAAATATGGCGCTTAGTAAGAAGAAAAACATGGTTATTTTTATAGTCCTGCTTGTTTCTTTGTCCAAAAAAGTTTTTTCTCCAAAAAGTTATAGTTACACGCAAAATAACAACCGAATCGACACTGGTTATATAATATTTTAACGACACGAAAAACAACAGAATATAAATATTGATTGTGGAACAATGCTTTAAACTTGAATATTGTATCGATACCTTATTGGCGCGATTTTTGGACGCGTTCTCCTCGTTTGGAATCTCGCGCCAAACTGAAGTGGTGAGTGGACGGAGCCTTCATTAAGGGGCGGTTTAAATCTTTCCATGGATACAGTAACCTACCAGGCTTCAATTCCATTCTAGATGTTACGTATTATAACATCGGTACATGCTTGTAAATGCAATAATAACACGTTCTTGAAAACATTGTTTCAGCTTTTGTAAGGACAATCGTAGGAAGGGTTAAGATCGTTTAGGGTACGAAGCGAACCCAGTTTAATCCTTTTGTTTGATTTTGAATGTGTCATTTATTAATTGCAAGCCGAAATGGTAAACATTTTTACCAACTGACCCGATACTGTATTTCGCTACGCGGTTGGTCTTCGAGTCATATTTATAATAAGTACAAAACCGTTTTTAAAATAATAATGTTTTGGAACTAATTACTTTCTGAATAGAATCCTACATACTTTCTTTTAAGTTTTGGGGTGTAACTACGTTTTCAAAAGGACTGCAACTATAGTATATTATCAAATTGCCTACCGAAGTGGAAAATACGTTTATCGAGTAAAATAATACATATAATCTGAGATTAAAAAAAACAAACTTAAAAGGCCATTATTTTTACTGCAGCAAAATGTTTTCAGGAATTTATTCATCTTGACTAGTGATGCAACGGAAGTATTGTAACGGTAACAGAAACGGAAACAGATATTATAAGAGTAAATCTTAGTGGAAACAGAAACGGAAGCGGATGCGGAAGCTGAAATGTAAACACTATAAAATCTCTATGAAATAATTCCAAACAGGGCTTGATTTTGGTTTCATAAATAAACTTACACAACGTAAAGTTCCGTCATGAAAGTAGCGAAAGCAGAAGCACAGATCTGTTGCATCACTAATCTTGACACCACGTTCTACGGACGTTTTTGGTTGTGTTTTTTATGTTGAGTGATTTATCAAGTCAACCTCAGATGACAGCTATTGTGCTCATTGTTACGTAGGAAATTAAGAAAAAATAAGAAGTCTCGACGGACATTGCTTTTTCATAAATGACACTCACAAAGGGAGCGAATGATTAATGCTAACATCTGAATTTACGCAGTTCCATAAATCTATTTTAGCAAATATGGAAGTTGTAGAATATTGTGTTATGATTTTCTATTTATAATGTGACAAGTGGGAGTGTTCACATAATAACAAATCGTAATATATCGTCGCCTTTATCACAAATATAATACAACAAGTTACTTGATTTGGAACTTTATTGTCATTATTGCAATTTTTTTGAGTAACCTATGCTACAAGTGTCGATATGAGGCTGCTTTCTCATCTCTTAGGGTCACTTCAAATAGATGAGAGAACACCGCAACCTAAATTAACTACCGCTACATAAATTATATTTTCTACAAGATAAGGTTACATTTCTTTAAACAAAAAATGGAAAAGAATATGCAGCAAGCGAATGTACTTAATTTAGTAGAATATATTCTACTAATTTAAGTATAAATTTCTTTGAATGCAAAATAATAAAAGAATAAAACCGCGCGGCGTATCCCATCGTGATGGCAGCTTGTGCGGCCACGGGCCATGCAATTTGTAACTTTGTTTCTCAATATACAGTATATTTCTTAGAAAAGCCTTTGACTACCAATGACTTAGTAGCTGTACAGCTCCTTGTGAAAGAGTTCGTCGTCGTATAGGAAAGTACTGCAACCGTAATATGAGCATTACCTACTGCGTTTCGGTTTCATGGGACTTTCAACTTTTGTCTCAAGGTGACGGACGCAGTGGCAGTGCTCCTCGATTTAAAGCTCTGAGCAGCACTGCAACTGTTATGGACAGCTCACATATCTTTTCTACATAAATTTTGTGTATTGTGACCCTCCCCATCAATCTCTTGGTTATACGGAAAGGGCACTTTAACCTGTGCAAGCAAACCTGCACAGAGACCTACTCAGTCATGTCCTGACCCCAGATCAGTTCATTTGCACGAACTTTGTCCGGTTCTCAGAAGGTTAGTGGCATGCGTCTGGTGGTAAGCGTCGCGCTTGTCCAAGGCAATGAGACTTGTTTATCCCGTCACTTTAAAAAAAATTACTGCGTCGGGCTGGTTTATAAAGAGTTATTCATCAAACATCTGGAAATTTTATAAAAATGTACACACACAGTCTCATGGTAGGTACCTTTAATTGTTCAAGATCAAGCAAATAACCATTTAGACTTAGATAACGTTGATTTTAATAAAATTGTACAGACAGTTCTGAACAATTCAAACGCTTGGATCATTTTGAAGCTGGATGTACTAACATACTAACAAGCCTGTACATTCGTTTTAGTACAATTATTATACTACACACATCAAAAGTGTCTAGGGATCAAGTACGTTTAAGAGTATTGCTGCAATTAGGGTTAATTATATTAACTTTTTTGTATCGCTATTGATACTTTTTAGTGAGTTTTAACATTTAAATAAGGAATATTGTTTAAAATTCGATAATAAGAAGAAAATCGATTGTCAATGTGGTTTTGTATAAAAATGAGTTATAGCGTTTTGACAAAATCATTACAATATCTGCATCGGAACCGAAACAATTTACATTATTATGGAGAGACGACATCATTTAACCCGAGAAGTGATGATGCGAGCCGTCGGAATGTTGGAAGCTGGTTCCAGGCAACGTGCTGTGGCTTTCACTCTTAACACGACACAGAGCGTCATAAGTCGCCTCTGGACGCGCTATCGCATGACGGGCAGCGTGGCCGAGCGACATGGAGGACGATCTCGCATCACGACTCGCAGACAGGACCGGTATATCCAAAATACTGCTCGACGGAATCGTACCATGACCGCTATGATGTTGGTTACGAGGCTCCACAGCTCCTCAGGCTTGCTAATAAGCGGTCAAACAATCCGAAATCGTTTACGTGAAGTGGGTCTGCGATCCCGAAAGCCGCTCAGAGTTCCACCTATTGCACCCTGCAATCGCAGGACCCGTTTACGATGGGCTCGCGAACACAGAAACTGGGAGGAAGAAGACTGGCGCTATGTGTGCTTTTCGGATGAATCCCGCTTCGGTATGAGACCGGATACAAGACGTACTCGAGTTTGGAGAACATCTGGACGTCATGAACGTTTGAGATATTGTCAGGAAGTTCATCCATATGGTGGGGGAACAATAATGATATGGGCCGGTATTTGGATCGGCGGAAGAACCGATCTCATTTGGATCAGGGGTAACCTCAATGCTCAAGTTTACGCAGAGAGGATTGTTTCAGATGTTATCATCCCTTTGCGAGGCCAGTTGGGTGATTCATTTCAACTAATGCATGACAACGCACGTCCACACACGGCTAGAGTCGTAACACGCATTCTTGCCGAAGCTCGTATCAACGTTCTGCCGTGGTCTGCTCAATCGCCAGACCTCAATCCAATTGAGCACGCATGGGATATGCTTCAAAGAAGAGCTGTGCCGAGTATGCATACCGTACATACTGTACAACAATATTTTGACTTGTTACAAAACACATGGGCGATTCCTCAAAGTGATTTTGATGAACTCATCTTAAGCATGCCAAATCGCTGTAATTGTGTGATTCGTGTTAATGGTGGAAATACAGATTATTAATTTTCTTATCTTTACAATAAAAATGAGCAAAATCATTTTGTCATTTAATTGACGCCGTTAATTTGAGTTTTTTCCCACAATTTGCAAAAACATCAATTTTAGTTTATTTTAATTAAGTACATATAGGGGTAAGCGGTTAAATAAAACATAAACATTAAAGTAAGAAGTCGTCCTGGAAGACTGGATTTGGTAAATATTGCTTAAATAATTTTTATTTCAAAAATATTCACTTGATCCCTAGACACTTTTGATGTGTGTATTTGGGTCTGAAAGAGGGGTTTTGTATTATTTCTAGAAATTTGTAATCGACATTCGGTTAACTAGAATAAATTTCATGTGGTTATTTCGTAACTCAAACCAATATGATGAAACTGTTTTGATTTAGCGTCACCCGTCTGGGGAAAAAATGTCACTCCAGTCGCTTTTGATTACAAATAAGTTCACACAACACCGCCATTACACGCTTGCGCTTTAAAACCTTTATTTACGAATGATATGGACTTTAAGCATACAATGTTCGCCATATTTATTTTCGCCTTGTATCATCACGACCGTATCCTAATATCCTTCTAAAGTTAGCAAACATAATAATACCATTATAAAAACTTCAAGAAAAACAATTAAGATCAGTATTATCATACGAATATGATAATACTGGTTCTAATTGTTTTTCTTGAAGTTTTTATAATGTTGTTATTATCGATGCGAACATCGATATCCGTTATCTAGGTGATCCTCGTCTTTCGAACGCTGTTTATTCGAAACCTTAAATAGAGCAATTATAACACCGCTTGGTTTGCTTCGCTCACGTACTCATAATCCCACGGTGCAATGTTGTTTATTTTAAACGAAAAGAGGATTACGCGTTTATATATCAGCACCTACTTTGGTTGTGCTCAATTTTAATTATGAAACTCTCAAAATCCAATATTTTATTCCATTGTTATTAATTAGGACCTTTTTACGAATTTACGAATTTAATTACGAAATAGAAGATTGTTACGTAGGAATACTTAGAAAAACTAGTTCTTTAGAATACTAAAGAACTACATATGTGCCGATAAAACTAACGATATTATTTAAAAACATTAATATAATAAATAAAAGAGTTCGTCCAGGGCGGTACTGCCACCGTATCTATGCCTGCATGCAATCAGTAATGTGAGCATTAGTGCATTCTAATTTTT